ATGACATTCTGTTCAAACAAGAAGACAAAGATTGTTACCAAGTCAAGATGTTGTCACCCACTCAATAATTAGTCAACAAATCAATAGTTCTAAATTTAGGCTTATAAAAGTAGGTATTTTCTATGCATTTAGGCATCTTGGTTTTCCAATCAAGATCAATATCATGTTCTTGCTCTTTTTCTTTATATTGCTTAAGTTTTGCTTTCATTAATCTCTTATTTATACCTTTCATTTTCTATTCTTTATATTACTTAGTAAACTTTCATTAGTCTCTTGTTCATACCTTTCATTTCCTATTCTTTACTTAGTTAATTTCCATTAATCTCTTCTTTGTACATTTCATTTCCTATTCTTTACTTAGTTAACTTATATCTTATTTATGTTTTTATGTTTTTTATTTATATTTCTCTCTTTCATTATGTTTAGTTAAGTTTATTATGTCAATGTGAAAATGTTACACTAATGGTGTAAGAATAAGTATAGTATAAACTCAATATGAACTAACATGTTTGATACTAACATGTTTTGTATTTGTTATTTTTTTCACTTTTAATACTTTCTTTATTAAATGGTTGATCTAGATTTATGTTGTATAACCCTTGGTTTAACAAATATTTGGCACTTTCATAGCCCAATTCCATGGTTAACTTAAGTTATAATCATGAATACCTGACAACTTTTACAAGTATTACCATTATTCGAATAAGATAACTAATATAATCATGTTAACAATTTATAATTCGAATGAAACCTTCTTTATGTGTGGTTCCCAGTTGAGTAATAAAAAAGAGTTTATGCTATACTTGTTTGAAATACCATTAGTGGATCCTCTAACATTAACATTTTCTTTTGTTATTGTTTAATCCTCACATTAATATTAATCTCAAAGTCCTTTTTAACTTATTATTATTGTTGTTGTTGTTGTTGTTGTTTGATTAATACTTAAAAGTCATTTTTATCAAGGTTTTATATCGTCATTTTGCACTTGAAGTATGAATAACTCCTTAACTAGAGCATGTTTTATAATAGCATATCTAATAAATATAAGATACCTTTAATTTATGGTAAATGTTTATCTTAAATACAGGTTTATCATATAAATAAAAAGATTGATTGATGAGTTTAACTTTTAAAATTTAGAAGAAAAGGAGAGAGTCAAGCTTAGAAAAGAGATGCTGGTTTAGTCCAAACTAGAACACTATTTGGTCATTGGATCATAACTGAAGCTATAGAACTTGAATTTAGGTCTGCTCTATATGGATAGAAAGCTAACACATATGCCTAAAACTTTCAAGGGAGTCCAAGATTCTAAAAAGTTGTTTTCAAGTTCAAATTGTAGCAATAATGAAAAAGTTTGAATATATCTTGCAACTCATACACTATTCAGTGTTCAGCCCATATCTCAAGTTCTAGAAGTTTAAATGACCTTATTTGTTTTTTGTTGGAAAGTTGAGATAATTTTCGAGAACTTTCATAAGAATAGTCTATTCAAATTCTGATGTTAGCAACTTTGTTTTGTTCAAATAAAAAGATAAGTATTGTCACCAAGTCAAGATGTAGCCATCCACTCAACAATTTGTCAACAAATCAATAATTCTAAATTTTGGCCTATAAAAAGAAGGCATTTGCCATGCATTTAGGCATCCTAGTTTTTAAATAAAAATCATATTCTTGCTCTCTTTCTTTATATTGCTTAAGTTTTGCTTTCATTAATCTCTTGTTTATGCCTTTCATTTTCTTTTCTTTACTTAGTTAACTTATATCTTATTTATGTTCTTATCTTGTTTATTTATGCTTCTCTTTTTCATTATGTTTAGTTAAGTTTATTATGTCAAGGTGAAAATGTTACACTAATGATGTAAGAATAAGTATAGTATAAACTTAATATAGACTTTAAAGTTTGATACTAACATGTTTTGTATTTGTTATCTTGTTCACTTTTAATATTTTGATTGTTAAATGGTTAATCTAGATTTATGTTGTATAATCCTTGGTACAACAAATACTTGACACTTTCATAGCCCAACCGTATGGTATAACCAACATTTGTGCTGCTATGAAAGGAAGTTGATTTGTTGTCAGCATAAGTTATAATCATGAATACATGACAATATTTACAAGTATTAGTATTATTCGAATAAGATAACTAATGTAATCATGTTAACAATTTATAATCTGATTGAAACCTCCTTTGTGTGTGGTTTCTAGTTGAGTAATAAAAAAATTTTATACTATGCTTATTTGAAATACCATTAGTAGATCTTCTAACCTTGATATTTAATTTTATCATTATTTAATCTTCACTTTAATCTTACATCACAAAGTCATCGTCATCATTATTATTATAGTTAACCTCTATGTGGTTGGACTCTAGTCTTGCCAGGTTATTCATTACTTCAACACTCCTACACTTGGAAGAAGACATCAATCTTTGATCATGTCATTGTTGTTGTTATTATTATTATTTATAATTTATAATTTATATAGTTAACCTCCTTGTGATTCGACTTTAGTCTTGTCGGGTTATTTATTATTTTGACACTCCTGCACTTGGGAGAAAACATATTATTTTGCTCATGTCAGTTATCTACTCACTGAGTTGTTGAACTTACCCTCTCATTATTTATCTTCTTTAGGCTTATAGTTTTCTTATGGTTTGTTAGGAGACTACTTTTATTGGACTTTCAGAACATGCTCTTTTGGTTGTAATTTGTACCTTTTTTATGTATAGTTAGTGCTCTATAACTATGAATCTGTTGTAATTCTTATATTAAGACAATCAAATTATATTATAAAGTTAGTTTTATAGTTATTGTTACATTAAACTCTGATTGAGGTATTTAAAGGATAAGTTTGTATGTAAATTTGAGTTAGCATAAATATGAAATCTTGGAAGGGAACCTTGGCTATATGTTGGTCATGAATCCAGAAGTTGAGTCGTGTCAGTCATGGTGAAAGGGAGATATAGGGTTTTTTCACGATGGAGAGAAAAATCTAGTAGGTGAGGTTGCGGGTGGTGCTAGGGAGGAGCAAAAAGAGAGGAATAAAGGGAGGGAGAAGGAGGGGGGAAAGGTAGCCATCCATATAGTACATACAACATTTGTTGATACGCTTATGTAGTATATGCACATTTATTGATCACTTGTATAGTACATGCATGTATTAATAGGTCTTGCATGTATTATATATGCGATTACCTTGACTACGCTAGAGTTTGTCATGGTGAAAGGGTGAGAGGGTTTTTTCATGAGAGAGAGAGAGAGAGAGATCTAGTAGGTGAGGTTGTAGATGGCTCTAGGGAGGAGGGAGAAGGAGTAAAAAGAGAGGAATAAAAGGAGGGAGAAAAAGGGGAAGAGGTAGCTGTGCATAGAGCACATGCAAGATCTATTGATACGTGCATGTAGTATATGCATATATAATGATATTACACATGTAGTTTATGCAAGATCTATATAGTAAATACATGTATTAATAGGTCTTACATGTATTATACACGTGATTACCCTGACTGTGCTAGAGTATATCATGGTGAAAAGGAGAGAAAGGGTTTTTTTCATGGTGGAGAGAGAGATCTAGTGGGTGAGGTTGCGAGTGGCTTTAGGGAGGAGAGAGGAGTAAAAAGAGACAAATAAGGAGCAATAAAAGAGGAATAAGAGGAGGGAGAAAGAGGGGAAGGTAGTCATACATGTAGTATATACAAGATCTATTGATATGCATATATAGTAATGCATATTAATTGATCACCTATATAGTATATGCATATATTAATAGGTCTCACATGTATTAGATGCGTGATTATCTTGACTGTGCTAAAGTTTGTCATAGTGAAAGGGTGAGAAGGTTTTTTCAAGATATATATATAATGGGTGCGGTTGCAGGTGGCTTTAGGGAGACGGGAAAGAGAGGGGGGAAGGAAGTCGTGCATAGAACACATGCAAGAACTATTAATACATGTATATAACATATGCACATATAATGATAATCTATATAATACATGAACGTATTAATAGGTCTTACATTACATGCGTGATTATCCTGACTGTGCTAGAGTCTGTCATGGTGAAAGGAAGAGATGTTTTTTTCACGATGGAGAGAGAGATCTAGTAGGTGAGGTTGCGTGTGGCTCTAATAAGGAAGGAGAAGGAGCAAAAAGAGATGAATAAGGAGCAACAAGAGAGCAATGAGGGGAGGGAGAAACATCGGGGAAAGGTAGCCTTGTATGTAGTACATACAAGATCTATTGATGCGTGTATGTAGTACATGTACATTTGTTGATCACCTATATAGTACATACACGTTTTAATAGATCTCACATGTATTACATGCGTGATTATTTTGATTATGTTAAAGTTTGTCATAGTGAAAGGGTGAGAGAGGGTTTTTTCACGGCGGAGAGAGAGATCTAGTGGGTGAGGTTATAGGTGGCTCTAGAGAAGAGGGACAGAGAAAGCGAGGGGAAATGAGTGATCGTGTATACAGTATATGCAAGATTTATTAAAACGTGTATATAGTATATGCATATATAATGATCATCTATATTGTACATGCATATATTAATAGATCGTGCATGTATTATATGTATGATTAGTCTAACTATGCTAAAGTCTGTTACGGTGAAAGGGAGAGAGGGTTTTTTCACGGTGGATGGAGAGATTTAGTAGGTGAGGTTGCAGGTGGCTCTAAGGTATGGGGGGAAGAAGGAGAAAAAAAGAGAGGAATAAGGAGCAATAAGAAAGGAATAAAGGGAGGGAGGAGGGGGCGAAGGTAATCATGCATAAAATATATGCAAGATCTATTAATATGTATATGTAGTATGTACACATACAATGATCATTAATATAATACACTCACGTATTAGTAGGTCTTTTATATATTACATGCGTGATTACCGATTGTGCCAGATTAGAAAATGTTTTCTCGAGTATTTAACTTTTTGTCACTGTGTTAACGTGGGAAAAAACTCAAAGTAAGTGACCATAACTCAAGATAATACAAGATTATTCTACAAACTGCAGCATGATCCCACATAGAATCTTGTCGGTAAAGATCATTAACTTGATTCTTTATTTGCAAAACATATACAAATGCATAAATATGTAGAGAAAAAAGAATCTCCTATAACTAGGCGCATTCATATTCACACGACAACTTGTTTGGAACTTTCTGCTGCACAATTTTACCTGTCTTCCAGCAACTGCAATGCAGTTTCAACTAGTGAGTGAATAGTTGTGCTGTGGCGACTCAGCCCAGAAGTGCCAGAGAATATGTTGAAGCTTTCAACCTCAGCCGTGGATTCTAAAACCCCCTCCAATTCCTTCTCCAACCCCAGGTCCTTGAAAGTAAGTACATTAGCCGAGTTGTTCCGCATCATCCAAATCGCCAACTCTATGGAAAACCTTCTCATTCTTGGAACCTTGACTGGTGTATTTTCGTACTTTCTGAGAATCTGGAGTATTTTGTTGGCTAGTTCAGCCTCTTTTATACCAGTTCTTTCAAACATGATGTTGGATTCTTGAGGAGTCATGAATTTAAAAGCTTCGGCCGCGAGTCCTACCATTACTTCTTGTAGTTTGTTCTCTTCAGACATAACTGCCTCCAGCACCTGCAACACGAGGGGAAAGAATTGAAAACTAAGTTTCTGTTCAGAAGTACTTACAGTTTAGATCAGACTACAAAACGAAATCCTGTTTCCCATGCCTTTTCTATACATAGAAACATAATTTAAATAGAACTAGAAAGCACTTACCGTGGGTACAGCGGCTGCTACGCCCTTCAACTGGTCGAAGCAATCTACTCCGCTATAGGTGCACAAGTTCCGTAGAATTCTTGCAGCATTTACCCTGAGCAATGGGACCTCCAGTGCACTAACTAGCCTTTCCAGTACTTTTAATTTCAACATGCGAAGACAATTCCTTCTGCTTTCCAAGGCTAGCATTGCTAGAGCATCTCCTGCAGCTATTCTTGCATGATTCTGATTTTCAGGAATTCCTTGGCTGAAGAAAATGTTGAATAACTCCTTAAGAACTCCACCCGTGCCCCCAATCCTCTCCTTTGCATCCTCTTCTAGTGCAAGACTGGTTAATATCTCTATGCTGAGTTTTTGAAGCATTGGGTGTTTTTCGCCATGCCGTAGAATATCTCTAATATTGCTGATGGTGAAAACTATCTCTGAGATTTCTCTTCGAAGATTATTACCTGTTGTGCCTGTTGTGCTTGCCAGCATCTTCACCAGTTGCAGAGAACGTTTCACTGTCAAAATCTGAGATGATGTTACATTTTCATCTTTCAGCAACCTCTCTTCTACGTGTGTGAAATCAATGATTTTCGGTAGGAGGCCCCTCGTATTTCCTATCTTCCCACAGTTATCATGGTCACGAGCGAGCTTCTTCAGGATAAGAAGTCCTAAATGATTAAATGTCCAGAATCCATAATGTGCATGATCACAGATGATTGTCTTTTCACCAATTTCATCGGCTGTGGTGCTGCAACTTCTATTGGTTTGTAGCAGAGATGAAATTGACTTCAATGCGCCAGGTATTCCAGCAACCCGTAGGGAGTTTTGCTTCTTGCCGGCTAGTTTTGATAGTATCTCTGCAGCTGACCTCCTGATCTCTTCTTCCTGCGGGTCTTTCCAGTTCAATACCTCCACTAATCGGTCTATCATTGATATATTTGTCCCAATGTTTTTGAGAGTTTCATCAGAAAACTGAGGATTCATCACAAATTGACGAAGAATTCTAGCTCCAATGAGCTGTTCATCAGGGGAATTGGAAGCCAATAGATCCATAGCAAAAGTAACCATGTTCATTTTTAGGCCATCAAAGATACTGCCCTCAAGACACCTAGAGTAGGCATCGTAGAAGAACCTTCTGATCGAAACCATGCCTGAAAGCCCCAAATCACACTCTTTGCTCACCTCTTCCAGCAGTTTACAGTAGCTTGCCTTCCACTCCCAGTAAGCTCTCTCCATCAGAAACAACAGAGCTTCTGCCAAAGCCAAAGAATAGAAAATATTCAGTGCGGATTGTCGGTTCCTCTTGTCATTATCCCCTTTCTCAACCTCACCATAGTTATGTTTGATGAGTTTCATCAATGATAAAACCACACAGGCTGATGCAGATGCAAGCTGGAGCCAATAGAGAAGCTTGCTGACATTTCTTGAAAGAAAAAACCATTGAGCATATGGTAGAATAGGAACATCTGAACTTGTCCATGTCCGAGTTAGCTTCCTCTGGACTCCCCAGTTCCCAGAGATTTCTGCATCAGGATTTTTCCTTATTTCTCTGGTATGCAGACTATGCTTTTGAACCCGTGTTATTGGCCTAAAAAGTGCTTTCACAGTTTCAACAATGAAGTGGGAGCTGGATCTCAATGCCCGGAAACTGTTAATCCCGGCATCAGTAACTGACCAGGTGGCTTGGTGTTGCCATTCAAGCTCATGGCTCCTGCTGTATATTCGAGTCCCTTCAATCAACAGAATAATGGTGATAAACCAGAAATCTGTTTTATCCAAAGTAATCGCAAACCCTCCGAGAAGAACAACTGTTGCCCAGATGAACCCGAGGGTTCCCAGGCAAGTAGCTGCCTTCTCAAAAATGGCAAGGCGAAGAGCAAAGAGTGTGAGTTTCTTCTCCGGTGCAGGTAATGTTGGAGAAACAGAATTTCCAGTGCTACTGTCTCTCTTTCCTATATCACTCTGAGGCTCAAAAATGGTTGCAGAGCCATAGGTTTCGCCAAGCCTGCGAAGCTCGTCAACCGGAAAACGAATGCTGCCATCTTCTTCCGATACGCCACGATTCATACTCACCGGATGAGACCAACCTTCAGTTGTGCAGAACTTGCCTTTGGAAATGCTAGAGTGGCTTGATTCTTGGACTACGGTGTTTGTGCAAGAAAAAAGAAGAGAAACTATGCTTATAAAACGAAGAGAAAAACTAGCTTAGGGAGCACGTTTAATTTGTGAAAATGTAGAGAAACGTTAAAAGTTGCTCTCTGTTTATGCAGTTTTTCCTGGGAAGTTTTGCTCAGCTATAAAACTTTGCCGGCAAGGGTTGTCCACTCTACTATCCCTCTCTGGTCATGTGATGACTTATTAAAGTCGGTTGTCCCTCACCAATAAGTCTCCTCATGGGCCATCTAAACCAGCCGAAAGCTTCTTTTTCTCGCAAGCAAGACTAGAAAGTTAACAAACCCTTTATAAAGGGTATAATTGCAGCTGGAGAAGTTGCTTGCACTTTTCCATGTCCTTTGCTCTTACAATTACGGTTCAATCTGTTTTTTTTTTCCTTGTTCCAAGTAGCCTTTGATTATCCTGTTTTTGTTCTTCATGGGAACAAGTAGGAATAATTGCCAACTCCAGATTCCGGAGATGATTCCTTTTTGAATGATTAAGATGATAGTGATGTACACTCCACCTTTTTATTTATGGCTTTATTATTATTATTATTATTATTATTATTATTATCATTATTAACGGAACCAACCCATAATTCACAATGATTCAATGAGGATAAATGGGGCTTTTTTCATCAAGTTGTTGTACCTGTTTCCTTTAAGAGGAAGGGACACGGGTTAATTTCTTCTTCTTCTTTTTTGACTCATTCCATTTCTGGATTCTTAAATTCGATGACTTAGTCAAGGTCTTTACAAGTGTGAATTTAGCAATTTGGCTGGTTATCTATGGCTTGCAGAAATAGATATACAGAAGGACTCTTCTCTTGTGTCAAGGCAAAGGCTCCTTTCAATGGGATAGGACCCGAAATCCTACTTATCCCTTGAACTACACGAATAGCTCGGCTTTGATGTAGACCTTGCTTTTGTCAGACCATAATTAATAAGGCATAAGCTAGGTTGGTTTGTAAATTGTAATGAACCGGATTGACAACGTCTCCCTCACCATTCAGGAGCTTTGGCTTCCACTTGACGATGGTGCAAGATGGTCACTTTGCTGTTGCGCGTGGTCGTCATGACTATGGATACTTGACGGGGGAAACCAGTTCAAATCTTTGCCAGAATAGAAAACGGAAGATTGGGACAAGCAAAGTCACAGGTAGGCCTGCGCAAAACAAAATTTTCAATAGATAAATAAACAGAGAGAGAGAGAGAGAACCAACAATAGTAGAGTGACTACCAATCGCTATTTCTTTCAACATCCATCTTCCAATTCTTTCGTATTTTCCAATGGAATCTTCTTCGAAGAAATAGAGATTGATCCTTCAAACATCAAAATGCTTCTGCGAAGGAACAAGTCAGATTCAACTTAGCTGTGAGCTCCATCATCAGCTCACTGGGAATTCCAGCAATGGTCAATAAATCATTGCAACTACTTGAAATTTGTAGACGACATGCTGAATAGAAATGCTATCAAATTTAAGGGATTGAAATGGACACAACACTCCAGAAACAAGCAACTACAATAATCCAACACCTTAAACAATCTTTATCCCCACTTGGATTGATCATGGTAAAACTCAATTTCTACAAAACAAGGGGGGGGGGGGGCGATGTAGAAATGGTTAAAATACGATTGTCCTCTTTCTATGTTCTCCTCTCCCATTATTGCTCTAGCCAACCACGCCTAAACTACAAACTAAGATGGGCTCTTTGAAACTACCACTAGGTTGCTTCTCACACATGGCAAACTTTGAAACTTCGATTCTGAATACTTGTCCATGTGCAAGATATCTACTGACTGCTAATTACCAGAGCCAATTTTCTAAAGTAACCCAGTCACCATTTTTCTGGTACTTTTGTTGTCCTGGAAAAAAAACTATAGTACGAGTGGATGAAAATACAAATCTTTGACAAGAAAGAAACTTCTTGCATGCATTTCCCATGATAAACCACCTAAATGCAGGGCAACAAAGACCAGATTCGGTTCAGGCATAGAGGAAGTTAGCAAAGGCACGTAACAGAATCCAAACAGAGAATTTCTTTGGAAAATGGATCTTTTCTTCCAAATTTATGAAAGAAATTCAGAAACAATGTCTGACTTTCTGGTAGGTTAGTTACATCTTGGCTATGCAATTCTGTCTCTCTTTTAACAAAAAGCAATAAAAACTTGAGAAGTACTAACACATTGTCTGAATGAAATAAGAGTTTGTCAAAGAACACAAGGTTTCTCCATGTCATTTCTTCTCATTGTGTAAAGTTTGTGGTACAAAGAAAGCCAATTATCAGTTAGATGACCCCTTCACTAAACTTTATCAGAATAACAGGTTGATCGAATTTCACTAGAATCATTACAGTTAAAAACATTTCACTGGCCAGTTGATCAATCCGCCACCTGCACAACCAATGACCTAACTTCTGGTATGCAACATTCAATGAGTTATAAGAATAGAGCATACCAAAAAAAAAAAAAACAACCCTTCTCAGATATAAGATGGCATGGCATTCCAGAAGTAAATGGCATCAATGAATTTGTGTTTGCCTATTCCAAATATTTGAGAGGAGAATGTCTTGTTGCAGGAAGCTTTTTGTATTATCTAAGAACAGTTAAACTGATTACAATGCTCCATTCTATACATAAACATTAACACTGCCCTCAACTGACTTGCAAGTTTTGAGACATTGGGACCTGGATACACAAGTACACATATATAAGACTGGGGAAAAAGCATTACAGTTGCAATAAGAAGAATATATCTGAAATATGAGGGGAGAAACACATTAGAACAGCTTGGTTTGAACATTGACATCGATTTACCAAAAAAAATGAATGAATATAGGACGAGGGATCGTGAAGCATTATAATCTCTTATTTCTTTAGGACGCCAATTCAATTTTAATGGTGCATCTATTACACTACAATACACTTAGCCATCCATCTGCAATCAGCATCCCATTGCTGACCTTTAGCCATCCATCTGCCCGTTGCTGACCTCTGCTTAGTTTAGTTTGTACGAGTAAATAAACAAGTTGGTATGGGACACCAAATCAAGTCAACTATGTTCATGTTAATTCCAAAGCTTGGTTAGATTCATGTGGAAAATCTATTAGTGTTTTACTGGATAGAGAAGCAGAATGCATCAAAACCATAAATTGAATAATTGAACTCCATCCAATCCTAACATTCTAGCATACATTCAGATCATCACATCATATAACTCACAATGATAACTTTCAAATCCACACATTCTTTGAATTTTTGTTTTAACTTATGTTATGCAACATTTTAATCTGTTATGTGAGAAGTCATAAGGAAAAAATAACTTCACAGAATTAAAATAATGCCTCTAAAAATATGGCAAAAATGACAGGTGCTTGCCTATTCCAAATGTACAAGGAGAGGTGATTGATATCTTATTGCAGGAAGTTCTTTCTGGTTATATAAAAGCACTAAAAATGAATGTTATTGTCCATGAAATAAAGGATGTGACCCCCCTTAACCAAACCAAAGCAAAATGCTTAGAAAGGCTTGCTGTTGTAAGACATAGGGAGTCAAAGACTCAGGTGAGCAGTTATAAGACATCAGGATAGTCATTACAGTTGCAATAAGAATGAAACTACAGATAACGGAGAGAGAAATAAATAAAGCTGCCAGATTCAGACATCAACCTATGTACACATGGAGATATTACAAAAATTTGACTATAGAACAAGAATTTGCAAAACATTGTAATCTCTTCTAAACTGTAATCCAAATACACTCCTCTCTCTAGAACAATCAACTCAACTATTATGGAGCATTTATGCAAAACAATGCAGTTGTTATATTACACTGCTTCTTTTCCAATACAATAGACTCATCCATCCATCACCTATCTGCATACTCACTGCTGACCTCCACTAGTTTGGGAACAAGGCTTTCTTGAGTTCGTGTCTATAATGAACAATTTAGTGTAGTTCCTAAGACAAGTCAATTAAAGTTGTGTTCACTCCTACGCCTGGTTAGATGCACAGTGGACCTCTGTCAGTGTTTTATCGCATACCAAAGTAGAAAAGCAACAAGATTATTAACTGAACATAACGAACTTTATCCAGTGCTGTACTTCTAACCTACGTTCAGATTCTCACGCCTTAGAATCCATAATTACAACCTTCAAATGCAATCATATCATTTAATTCCACAAAAATAAAAACTTAGAAAAGCATAACCACTGAAAGCACTGTCCATACCTCAAAAACAATACTTTGCGCCTCAACTAAATCACAGTTCTCCTTTGCTGGACCCTGGCCTTCTCTGCATCAACGATTGATTCCACCAGCTTAACAGCATTATCCAACTTCCCTTCACCATTCACTACCACATAATCCAAGTCCCTAACATGTTTCACCTCCTCTCTCGCAGTCGCAATCCTCAAAAGCAAAGCCTCGCTAGTCTCAGTCTTCCTATCAATCAACCTCTGCACAAGTTCCAACTCACTCTCCGCCACTAAATATATAAAGACAGCAGAATTCCCCAAAATCTTCCTCAAAGTCTCAGCCCCCTGTACATCAACTCTTAAAACTATGTCATGCCCTTTTGCCATAAACTCCCTGATTTGCTTTTTTGGTATCCCTTTATAATCACCATATACAAGTGCATCCTCTAACAATTCATTTCTCTCTACCATTGATAAAAATTCTTCCTCTGACACAAAGTAATAACAACCTCACCTTCTCTCGTTGGCCTACTAGTTGCAGTCACAACAAAATGCAAACTTGCTCTAACTTGTCTCAATTTCTTGATAACAGCATCTTTACCAACCCCACTTGGACCACTTATCACAATGATTAAAGGGTTTGGAGGGGGGCATATTGGGTTAGTACTAAAAGAAGAGCCCATTGAGAACTCAAGGGCACGTAGCGTTTCAGACTTTGAGGCTTTATCAGGAGGTGGGATAGTGAATTTAGGCTTCTGGGTATCGCTCGTTTTGGTGTAATAAGCAAAGAATCTTGGTGGGGTTGAAGTGAAACGTTCATAGATAGAAGTGGGTTTGCTGTGATTTATGATAAGAGAGGTATTTTGGTGGTGAGAGATTGGAGAAAAGAGAGCTGGGTTAGAGCGAGAGAGGGAGAAATAGAGTCTGCGGAACATGAGGGGATTAGGGGTTTTGTACGTAGAGAACGGAAGGTGAAGGGGAAAGTGGAGCTTGCGTTTAGTGTGAGTATGGTTATTTTTTAAAATATTTTTTTATTTTTAAAATTATTTTATATTAATATATTAAAATAATTTAAATTAAGAATAAAAAAATATTGTTAGTTTGGAGTTTATATTACAATTATGTAATTTTCTGTATTTTTTTTAAATACTCAACTCTAGTTATATTCTCATATCACCATTGTTAAATATGACAA